CAGACAGGTATCCGGGTGAGGTGAACGCCACACCATTACTCAGTGGATGACTTCTCTCTGTAAGACACCATTATTTACCGCTCGAGATCACTACCCTTTTAGCCTGACCCAGAGAGAGAGTCTCCCTACCCCTCATATACCAATTGCCGGAGGTGCTATGAAAATCGCCTTTGTATAAGAGAGACTATCTCGAGGGGGAAAAAACTAATTTAAATGTTGAATGCGAGACAACACTGCCTAATGGAATGTTGTATATACTCATAAAAGATCTCTTTGTTGGGAGACTTCCTTTGTAGAGAGAGAGAGAGAGAGAGAGAGCGCGTGGTGATATGGCAATGGATGTGATTGTCCTCTCACTGTCTCTCTCTCTCTCTCTTTCATTCCTCTTTTTCTCTCTCATCAACTTCCTTGCCCTCTTCCTATCCTCTCATCTTCCTCCCTAATCTCTCTTCACACTTCCATCCCTCCCTACTTTCTCCCCACTTCTTCCCTCTCCCTTCCCCCCCTCTCTCTCTGTCTCTCTCTGTCTCTCTCTCTCTCTCCATCTCTCTCTCTCTCTCACACACACACCAAGAACCTAATTATCACCTGGAATTCTAATTTACCTCATCTCTATACCTTGTGACTCCTGCCTGGTCAATAACCAACCAAGTCTTACCAAGAAAGGAACTGATGCATAATGCTGTGTTTTAATGTTACCGGGAAGGTAGTGTGTTTATATCTCCTGTTGGGGTGAGTTTATGACACACTAAAACAATTATATCTTTCTGTAATGAGGGATAGACAGATATATGAATAGACAGAACAGACGGTAAACTAGACAGACAGACGGGATATATTTTAAAGTATAAAATCGTCTTTTTTTTTCTCCTGTTGGGGTGAGTTTACGCCACACTAAAATAATTATATCTTTCTATAATGAGGGATAGACAGGACTAACAGACAGTACATTATATAGACGGAACTCACAAACAGCAAACGAGACAGACAAGCAAGTATTTATAGGTGTGTAAGAGTGTCTGTCATTTTGTATGTTTTATCGGTATGAGTTGATGCCCTAACACATATCTGAACATACAGGAACAGACAGACACCTAGACAGATAGAGAGACAGGCACCTAGATAGACAGAGAGACAGACACCTAGACAGATAGAGAGACAGGCACCTAGATAGACAGAAAGACAGATACCTAGACAGACAGACAGACAGACAGATAGACAAAGGACCTTATTTCCGCTGAGGAATGTGAGTGTTTACATTGTCTGCTCTTTGAATTTATGGCAGATTAAACTATGATCTCGTTCTGGAGAGAGAGAGAGAGAGAGAGAGAGAGAGAGAGAGAGTACCTTGTAAATATTAACTCGTGTTTTTATTTTCCGACTATAATTCCGGGTCATAAAAGCAACTCCTTCCTGTTTCAGTTAGATTATGAGTCATAACACATCTGTCGCTTGGTGTTATGTCGTAAGCCCACAGCACGTGTAGTCTTGGTGTGTTGTGTCGTAAACTCACAGCACGTGTAGCCTTGGTGTGTTGTGTCGTAAACTCACAGCACGTGTAGCCTTGGTGTGTTGTGTCGTAAAACCACAGCACGTGTAGCCTTGGTGTGTTGTGTCGTAAAACCACAGCACGTGTAGTCTTGGTGTGTTATGTCGTAAGCCCACAGCACGTGTAGCCTTGGTGTGTTGTGTCGTAAAACCACAGCACGTGTAGCCTTGGTGTGTTACGAGTAAACGCTTCATTATAAACGTTTTTAACATAAATTCGACCGAAGAAACATTTCCTATAAGAGCATCACAAGAAACGTTTCCCATAAGAGCATCACCAGAAACGTTTCCTATAAGAGCATCACAAGAAACGTTTCCCATAAGAGCAACACAAGAAACGTCTCCAGTATATATGTCTAATGAGCACAGATCTCTCGTATCAGGTTTAATTCATTATTATTTACTCTCGTTATTCTTAATTGCAAATGATTTCTGTTCTCCTGTTGACTGGACGGTGGGTTACCAGTTCGACCTTTTTCTCATCATTTATCTCACTCGCCTTTTGGTGCCTCTGAAAGCCACTGGTGAAAGGCGTCTCCCTCTCTCTCTCTCTCTCTCTCTTTCTCTCTCTCTCTCTCTGTGTCTCGCTTAATGTAAGAGATCTTCGCACTGAGACTTCTTTCTCACTCGTGGTCTGAGTCTTAAAGAGAGGGGGGAGATTTGGAGGGGTGGAGGGGGTGAAGATTGGGGAGGTGAAAGGAGAGAGGGATAAGGAGATAGGAGGAAGGGTAGTAAGGAAAGACAATGGGGAGAAAGGAGAGAGAACTGGAAGAGGCGAGGAGGGAAGGAGGGGGAAGGTAATTGAGGAGAGAGGAAGAGGTATTGGGAAGGGAGGAGACTCGAGAAGAAAGAGAGAGAGAGGAGAGAGAGAGAGAGAGAGAGAGTCAAAAACACATAAGACAGGCTAAAATCTCTAAGAGGCAACACACACACACAAAATACTTCACCTATAACTAACGACTTCCCAGTCTCACGTCTTATGGGACAAACAACTCCATGATTTAATAAACTGCAAGAGTGGGTGTAGAGATGGGAATTAGGGGTGGGGTGGGGGTGGGAATTGGGTGGGGTAGGGTGAAGGGTGGGAGTAGGGTGGGGTGGGGTGGGGTGGGGTGGGGTGGGGTGGGGTGGGTTGGGTGAGGGGGACATTTCGCTAGTGGTCGTGTCCCGGGTTTAGTGGACTCGTGAAGTATTTCTGCCACTTTGGAATTGGGTCACCGTCCCCTGGGGGTAAAGAAGTCGACTAAGGAGAGGGAGAGTTCTGGACGATACTCTCACGTAATACCTAATACATACACGTAAACATACACAAGTAAACATACACATAAACATACACGTAAACATACACGAACCAGTCACATAATACATACTCGTAATACATACACAAAATCACACACACACACACACACACACACACACTCATAACGTGCATAACATAACATACACACGCATACACACACAAACACTCACACATACACGCAGCAAAAATAAAACCTCTCCCCCCTGTTTTCTCCTGTCGATAGTTATCAGCGCCTGTATGCAAATGAGGTATTCAACAGCGTGAATTGGAAAAAAAATGCATTAAGGATTTTGGCTTCCTTGAGAAATTATTGTATACAGGAGGATATAAATATAGATTATTTAAGGGGAGTTTTTTTCCAGTGTTTTTTCTGATTTTTATCTTTTCTGTTTAGGAGACGGTATGGATTTTGTTGTTGTCTGTCTGTCTGTCTGTCTGTAAGTCTGTCTATCTGTCTCTCCTCACTGGTGCAACATAACCGATTCTCACACACACACACACACACACACACACACACTCACACACACACACTAAAGGTCAAGACTAAGCCCCATCGAGGTCATGAAATTCTATAACATAATTGACGCACAAAAGAAAACAAAACACCCACAAAAAAAAAAAACACTACAAAATATTACCCAACAGTGAAAAACAAAAAAAATTACTCTTGACATGTGAGGAAATTGTCCCTTGATATAGTATGATATATGAATGAGATGTTGACATATATGATATAGGAAATGCCTCACCCTCCATCACCCCTGAGAGGAAACTGACCACAGACACATACCTGGTCTACACGATATGAGTAATTACCCCACAGGTGTTTTAGGTTACTACCATAATAAACTGCCACTATTGACGTATTTTAATGGTTAGGTTAGGTTAGGTTAGGTTAGGTTTCTCCCATAATACACTACAGCTATTGACTTATACCTGGTGTTTGGTTTCTATAAGCATTTTAATGGGTAGAAAGAGACCGCTAATGAATCATCCTAAACAAACAAACACACGTACAGTCTAATCACCTGGTGTAAAATGTTCCTTCAGTGAATAACGAATGTAGAACTTTTATGAATGAGACTATACATTACACAACTGAATCAAACACCAGAAAAACAAAACAAAACACAAATATTGCTTTACTAAAATACGTGAAACACAAAAATTTCTCAAGAAAGAATTCCCCTGCAAGCAAAAGGCAAGCAGACATTCGCCAGACGTAGCCTATCAAGTAAATGAAGAGAGGAACGACCATAGACACGGAAAAATACTCGTGTTGAAGTTGTTTTTTTGTTAATAAGGGAAAATATCTTTTTTTTATAATAAGTAATAAAACGTAAATAATTATGGTATACAGACTACACGAATGGCTTAAAAAGAAAGAAAGAAAGAGAGAAAGAAAGACAGAAAGAAAGAAAGAAAGAAAGAAAGAAAGAAAAATATTAGTAGAGAAATGAAGAAGAGAAATTGAGAGACAGAAAATAACCAAAATAGCGGAAATGAAAGAAAGAGAGAGAGAGAGAGAGAGAGAGAGAGAGAGAGAGAGAGAGAGAGAGAGAGAGAGAGAGAGAGAGAGAGAGATAGCATCATAGACATAGAAAGATAGGTAGAGAGACAGTGACATATAGAGAAGGAGACAGAGACTGATGACGAGAGATACAACGAAAGACAGAGACAGGAAGACAGATTGAGAGAGACAGGGAAAGGCAGACAGGGACAGAATGAGAAACAGACAGATGGGAAACTGGTGAAGATAGACAGAAAGACAGAACAAGACAGACTGAGACAGGAATACACACAGATAGACAGGCAGAGAGATAGACAAACAGAGACACATAAAGAGAAAGACACAGAGGTAACAGACAGACAGACATAGACAATCAGACAGACAGACAGTCATAGACAGACAGACATAGACAGACAAACAAACAGACAAACAGACAGACAAACAGACATACATAGACAGACAGAGAAACACAGACAGACAGAGACAGAGACAGAGACAGACAGAGAGATATAGACAAAAAGAAATAGACAGAGACGACAGACATAGACAGACAGACATAGACAGACAGAGAGACACAGACAGACAGACAGACAGACAGACAGACATAGACAGACAGACAGACAGACGGAATACTTTACTTACTTGGTAGAGGACAACATCGACATGGAGGAGAAGAAATATGGGTCAGAAAAATCGAGATGCCTTGCTCTCTGTGCTGTGACGGACAGAGGGGCGAAGGACAGATCCGCCGAGCCGTCTAGCAGATCTCCCACGATCCCTGTCCACCCAGTGCTACGAGGGGCGCCAAAGGTACCGTCCATCACCAAGTACACCTGTCAGGGTAGACGGAAAGGGGTGCACTCAGGTGAGACAGAGAGAGGAACTGGGGTGTGTGTGGGGGGTTGGGTTGGGTTGGGTTGGGTTAGGTTAGGTTGGGTTAGGTTAGGTTTGGAGACACTCAGTTAAATGAAGTTTAATGTTAATAGATTCAGTTTTCTTTCCTCTCTCTCTCTCTCTCTCTCTCTCTCTCTCTCTCTCTCTCTCTCTCTCTCTCTCTCTCTCTCTCTCTCTCTCTCTCTCTCTCTCTCTCTCTCTCTCTCTCTCTCTCTCTCTCTCTCTCTCTCTCTCTCCAGTAGTCTCTATATATTTCGCCCAACTGTCTCCCTCTCTCTCCCCTTGTCTCTCTCCATTCTTTCCTCCAACTCTTTTTCTCTCCCCCAAAAACTCGTGTACCACCATTCCTCTACCTTTCTCTCTCTCTCTCCCCCATTTACCCTCTCCCTCAATTACTCTCACCCCCAGTCTCCCTCACCTAGTAGCTCCTCCCTGGAGTCATTCTTTTTCCTCTCCCTTACTTACAATCTCCTTTATTCACGCGCCTCTTCCACCTACTCTCTTCCTTAATGTCTCTCACTTACTCGTTCTTTCATTCTTCCTCACTCCTCCTTCCTCACCTCCACCTCAACCCCCCTCCCCAATCCTCATTTTCCCTCACACCTCCTCCTTCCTTCTTCCTCCCGTGTTTACCTCACTCACCTGCCCTCATAGCAAGGTAAACAAAGGCTCATGTAGGTGTTCAGCGTTTATTGTTATGGTACAGTTTATCTCGTGGTTTATCTGCCGTGGTTTAAAGCCTCTGGTGTACCTACTTTACCTCACGATACAAGACAATATAAGAGCTTACCATAAAGCTAATTGGATATGACTTTATGGTGAGTTGTAATCATTTTGGGGGAAACTTTAAGCCATTTTGGGATATTTTGTCGACTTTATGGTGAGTTGTAAGCCTTTTGGGACAACTTTAAGCCATTTTGGTATATCTTGTCGTCTTTATGGTGAGTTGTAAATATTTTGGGACAACTTAAAGCCATTTTGGTATATTTTGTCGACTTTATGAGATAATTCAATAGTTTTGAAGCACTATAAAGCCCCCCCTGGGAATATATTATCTACAATTTAATACAATATAATATAGACGGAAAAATTACCATTAAGTCTATCTTGGTGCTCTGACTCACGGTGTTACTATATAATTTACAATGAGATAAGCCAGAGGTGTTGAGAGGACCACTCATAACCCAGACACTACTATGTTTTGGGGTGACATTGATGAGGTGGAATACTAATGTCAGGGTGAGGCCATAATACAGCTCTCACATTAACAAGTTTTCCTCATGTCTAGTGTATGTATGACCTTTAGCTGTGGGTCTACATGGTGCTGTTGGGGAACTTCAATGATGCCGTGGTTATCAGTGTGACAGTTGGATGAATATATGGACAGATAGACAGTCAAGAAAGGTGTTGCCATGTAATAAATCAAAGAATCATTCATTCTCGCTGTATAATTCATTCATATTTTCTGTTTGTTTTAGATAATCTTGATGTTTTTAATGTTTGTTATACATGATTCTCTAAAAAATATAAACTGCTTCACTCAGTATTAACCCCCCCCTGACCTCATATGACCTTACCTGTAGCTCGATCTCAAGGTCAGTAGCGACGTTGATCATAAGGTCAACAGCCAGGCCACTGCAGCAGACGACCTCGTAGCCCCTGGAGGCGTTCACGACTTCCCTCTCCATGTCAGCGAAGGTTGCGGCCACCTCCTCTGAGAACACCTGAAAGTGGTACAGGTGATGTGCTTAATTGGCTGAATGAGTCTAGGGAGTAGGAGGAATGAATAAACAAAGATAAGAATAACGATAATAATGATAATAACGATAAAAAAATAATAATGATAATAATGATAATAATGATAATAATGATAATAATGATAATAATGATAATAATGATAAATAATAATCCCATTTATTTACTCCCACAAGAATCATTTATTACTAATACTACCACACAGACACAGACTTAGGTTAAGGTTACCTTCCCCCTACACTTTAAGCTTGAGGCGAGGTATAAAAAAAAAAACATGAATGAATGAATCTACAGAGAGAGACAGAGAGAGAAAGAGAGAGAGAGCGCTAGGGGTGGTAGTGGTGGTATTGGACTCTGCAACGTTGAGGGTGTGGCGGTGAATAGTGAGGCAGGTAGTGGTGGTAGTGGTGCCAGGAATGGTAGAAGGACACATACACACACACACACACACACACACACACACACACACACACACACACACACACACACACCCAAGACGCTCGGGAATGGGGCCGGGTGCATACCTGCTGGTCGAATTCCAAGGGAGGAGAAATTCCATCTGTCTCCCTGCTCTCTCCATGGAAGGAATGAGGCTGTGAAAGGAAGAGGAGGAAGAGGAAGAAGAGGAGGAGGAGGGAGAGAAGAGGAGGAGGAGGGAGAGAGGAGGATGATGTACGAGGAGAGAGGACAAAGGTGTGTAAATAAGAGGACCACACCCCACCCCACCCCACCCCACCCCACCCCACCCCACCCCACCCCACCCCACCCCCACCCCACCCAACCCCACCCAACCCAACCCCACCCCACCCCACCCGCACCCCACCCCACCCCACCCCACCCCACCCCACCCCACACCCCCACCATCCCAAAATAGTGAAGGAGGGATTCACCAGGGCGATAATCCCTCCAAACACAACTGCGTGCCTCCCTCTCATCCTCGCTGATTATGTGGACAATCCCGGCCTAATGCACACCCTCACACGCCATACTCGGCTCCACAGAACACCTTCTATAATCTGGTAACGATATATAAAGGAGATGCTATAATATGACAGAACATAGTTAGATATTCTGCCAAGGGGAGGTTCTATAATCTGTTAGTAAAAGTGGCATAATCTTGTGAAAGTTGTATAATCCGGTAGTGAAAGTGATATAATTTTGTAGTTCAATAAGCCTGCAACTCCCTCCCCCCAGCCTGAACCCTCCCCCAGCCTGAACCACCCCCCATCCTGGACCACCCTCTTCCCCCAGCTTGAACACCACCTCCTCTAACCGGAACCACACCCCCCCTCTAGCCTGAATCTCACTCTCCTTCTAGCCTGAACACCCCCTTAACCTGAACCACCCCTAGCCTGAACCACCCTAAGCCTGAACCACCCCTAGCCTGACCCCCCTCCCCCAGTATGAACCAGTCCACCACGCCTCTCACTAACTAGATTAACATATTGAATGACCTGGAGTGAGTAAGTCTCTCTTGTGTCGTGATAGTGTGACTTTAACGTTGTTTCTCTTATTAATTTTGTGTCTCTTTGTCCTTGGTGTTATCTCTCAGTTTCTAGGTGTTTGTCTCTCTTTCTCTCTGTCTCTCTCTGTCTCTCTCTCTCTCTCACTTTCTCTCTCTCTCACTTTACCCTACCCTACCCTACCTTTACTTCATCCACTCATAATTTAATCTTCACTAACACACAAAAAATAAATAAATAAAAATAAATAAAAAATCCATGGAACAAAAATATACACAAAATATACACACCTTAATCATCCTTTTCATACAGCTATATACTAACATACTCTGAAGGTCTAAATACTGTCACGATATTCCTCGACTCCTATTTCAGCCGTTGATTGGGATTCGAACTCTCTCTCTCTCTCTCTCTCTCTCTCTCTCTCTCTCTCTCTCTCTCTCCTCTCTCTCTCTCTCCTCTCTCTCTTGGTTAAGCATGTCTTGGTTAAGGTGGGAGTAGGATATGTAGGTAGTGGGGGGGTATGTGGGGTAAAGGAGGATAAGTGGATAAAGGAGACAGGATGACTAGAAGACAGACTTGAAACAGACAGATAGACAAGACATACAATCAGGAAAGACAGACAGACAGACAGACAGACAGACAAACAGACATACAATCCAATCCATAACACAGCTATCACTCAGGTATCATCCCGGTTCCAACATTCACTCCAATACTCGTGTTAATTTTACATGTTCAACCTTGACCAGGGAAGCACTGGACTCCACCACAACCACCTCGATCTCCCTGCCTCACCTTTAATCGATATTTAGTTAAGGTAAAAGTGTGTCCAGGTGTTTTCTATATCAAGGTGTGGATTTTTTTTCTTCTTTTCTTGGATCCGGGAGATAAATTATTGGCATGTTTGTTGGTGTTTTGATTTGGTCGATGCAGAGGAGCTTGTACACCTAGCAGTTAAAGTGAGAGAGAGGCAGAGACGTACACACACACACACACACACATATATATACTTTAAATTCCCATTACGCTTCTGTTTTTCATTAATATAACAGGGGTCTCTATATCTCTCTCTCTCTCTCTCTCTCTCTCTCTCTCTCTCTCTCTCTCTCTCTCTCTCTCCCTGCTCCCTCCCTCCCTCCCTCCCTCCCTCCTTGAATCAAACCCTTTTAGGGAAAACACCTTCTCTTTATCATATATTTTCCCTAATGAAAGTAATGGAGGTAATGAGTATATATGTACAGTTCTGTCACTAAGAAAACAAAAAAAAACTGTCTATACAGAATTGTGTTGAAAAAATATGACACAATGGATGAAGGATTTTGACAACCCTACCGAGACAACAGGAGTCACAATGTTCATTCTGAAATTCATCGACCACCCCAAATAGAGATATTTTTCTTCTGAGTGACTGTATTTATTGAAGGACAAAAAGAGAGAAGGTCCCAAGCACTTACCCTGAGGCATATCACCCCCGTCAGACAGGTGGCATTCTCGATGAGATGCGACGTCATTACGAAGGGAGGAGCCTCAGCCAAAGCCACCCTCATTCTCTTGTTCTGCTCTGACACACCCTTGTACCCTCTCCCAGGCCAGAAGATAGCGTTGATCTGTACCTGAGACCCATTGACGTAGCCCACCCTCGTCCACTGGGCACCCACACCTATTTTCTTGGGTACGAGATTCTCCACGTAGAAAAAAGGAGTCAGACCCGGTAAGGATCTCTGAGATAATCTGCTTGATGCGAGTTTCTCTTTAAGTTGTCTGTGGGAGAGAGAGAGATAGAGAGAGAGAGCGAGAGAGAGAGAGAGAGAGAGAGAGAGAGAGAGAGAGAGAGAGAGAGAGAGAGAGAGAGAGAAAGGAGAGAGTATATTATTAGGATATATTCTCATGATTATATTACATCATCTGTCATATTTTTTCCCTCTAAGCTAGCTGGGGAAAGGAGGAGAAAGGAAAACAAATAATATAATGTATTTTTATGATTATATATTCATCATCTTACATATATATTTTTTTCTAGGTTTATCAATTATGTTGACTTTTTAATTTGTATTCTATTTGATGTTTTCATTTAATATTCCCCCAAAACACAATAATTTCTTTTACATTCTTTTATAGTGACAGACTATGGAAGATCAATTCAATAATCTTCCCTGTAAATAATAAAAAAAACTGACCTTTGACCTAGCATCATATAAGGCTGACCTAATACCACTGAGGTTAACCAAAAGCGAAGTTGCAATACTGTGCAATAGGAGGCGAGATTATATACCCTATACTTGAATAATTATTGCAAGTTGCATGTGGTTTGGAGTGTTGCAAGAGGGGAGGGAGTTGGATAGACGAGAAACGTGAGGAATAATGGTGAATGGTGATGATGATGATGATGATGATGATACGGTTTGACTACATGAAATTTGTACAGTGTAAGGGGTGACGTGAAAAAGATTGAAGTGTATTGCAACTGGGGTTAAAAGGGAAGGGAAGGGTTATGTAATAGATTTCAATGACGGATTAAACATAGACATAACAGACAGTGTGTGTGTGTGTGTGTGTGTGTGTGTGTGTGTGTGTGTGTGTGTGTGTGTGTGTATCCTGCCGCCCAAATAAATAGTCTATGAGATGTTAGTAGCAGAAGTGGACTAATCCTCGTTGTAGTTAGAGGTGAAGTGGGATTAATGTGTCCTCAAATCATTGCAGTCAGGTTCTATCATAATACAACAATACCAGTTAATGTATATCTGGAGAAAAGGGTGTTTGGTCTGTCAACAAGGCCAGCAGGGATTATTAGGGTGCATGGGGGTCAACGACTAATTACTATACTCTACGTTCATTGGCTAGATGGATGAGTGAACTACCGTGTTGAATATGGCAGTGGCTTTAGGGAACCCCGACTCCACAGATGTCAATATTGAATCGAACCTATCACAAGCAAGTATTACTAGTGTCCTAAGATTATTCGCCCGGTGATTGGATAGTGTCAAGTAAGTGTTTCTATAAGATGTGGGTATATGCCCTATCAGGTGAGCGCTCTGCTGAATCACCTTTAGCATTACTATCACCACTACCAGTATCACCACTACCACCACCACTACTATCACCACTACCATCACCACTACCACCACTACCACGACTACCATCACTACTACCATCACCACTACCAGTATCACCACTACCACCACTACCATCACCACCACCATCACCACTACCATCACCACTACCACCACTACCATCACCACTACCACCACCACCACCAATATCACCATCACCACCAACAACAACATCCCCACCACCACCACTATCACCACCACTATCACCATTACCAATATCACCTCCACATCAAGCGTAATCGAACACTACTTATGTTTACAGAGACCAACGCGGAGCACTCTCTCTCCCACATTAGTTTTGGCTGTGCAGTACCTGGGCAGCGAAGGACTTGGTGCACAGTACAAAATATCACAGCACATCTCTTTACCTTTTAACCTACCCCAGCACATCTCCTCACCTCCTAGCCTACCCCAGCACATCACTTTACCTCCCAGCCTTACCCAGCATATCTCTTCACCTCCCAGCATACCCCAGCATATTTCCTCACCTCCTAGCATACCCAAGCACATCCCTACACCTTCCAACTTACCCCAGTACATATCTTCACATTCCAGCCTATTCCAACACATCCTAATATATATTCTAACGTATTATTGAGCAGTCGAGCACATCCCTGATAATAATAACAACAATAACAACATAATCAATAATAATAATAATAATAATAATAATAATAATAATAATAATAATAATAATAATAATAATAATAATAATAATAATAATAATAATAATAATAATAATAATAATAATAATAATAATAATAACAAAACTAATAATAAAAACTAATGATAATACATACAATCATAACACCATAATACAATAATTTAAAATACATATTATTACATACACCAAAAAAAAAATTAAGTAAAAAAAATCTTAATGAACCAAGACGTAAATTTCAATCTTTCATTTTCCTCAGAACTAAAAAAAAAAATCCCACAAGTGAATGATTACTTCCCCTCAAACGATCATCAACATAGCCCAAGTTAAGGCCTCACGGTGTATATATTTAAAGTCAGAGTTCCACTACACTGCTCCTTCGCTCCACCAAAAAACCCCGAAAGTCGTATTTAAAACGTCATTTGGGATTCAGACGACTTTACCTTCCCTCGCTCCTCCATTTAAGAGAGAGAGAGAGAGAGAGAGAGAGAGAACTTGGTGCTGGAAGACTCTCTGATGCTTCTTGTCCTCTGGGTAGTGAATCTTTTAACTTTGTTTTTTTATTTATTTTTATTAATTCTTATTTCATTTATTTATATGTATCGTATAATGACTTTGTGGTTTGGTGAATGGAGAGGGAGAGAGGAAGGGAGGGAGGGAGGGAGGGAAGGAAGGGGTAGATTTGTCCCCCTCCAAGTGAATAATTACCCTTCCACATCCCAACACCACCCACCCCCATAACCCACACCTCCCACCCCCACGCCCCCACCTTCAAATTCAGGTTTCTAAACACATGTCCCCCCTTTACTGTATACACCTAACCTAACCTAACCTAACCTTAACCTAACCTTAACCTAACCTTAACCTTAACCTAACCAACCTTAACCTAACCTTAACCTAACCTTACCAACCTTAACTTAACCTAACCTTATCCTAACCTAACCTAACTTAACTTAACCTCGTGATACTGAAGTCAAGAGTATGGAGTGCTTCAGGGTGGACTTACGAGGTAATAAAGACATTCTTATGAACGTCTCTTGTTATAAGTATGCAGATCAAGTATTCTTAAGTATTCTCTACCTACATACAGGTTCTTAAGTAGCCAATTTGTATGACTGACGGTGTGTTTAGACTTTTACTTTACACTTTATATTTTCTAGGAAGTGAAAAGGTTTTATATAGTGATGGTAGATGTGTGTGAGTGTGTGTGTGTGTATGTGTATGTGTGTGTGTGTGTGTGTGTGTGTGTGTGTGTGTTTGTATGTGCGTACCTGTATGTGTATTTCGACGTAACCTGTATGTATGTGTTCGTACGTGTGTCTGTATACCAAAATCTCAAACCCCCCCCCAACAAAATACCTTTAAAAAACAAACACACAAAAAAACAATATCACTAAAAAATGCTAAAACAAACACAGTTACTTGATAGAAAGTAAACAGAGTGCGTCAACAACACCAACTAAAAATAACCCGACAGGACGAACATTAACACAGAGACGCCACACCACTTTTAACAACACAGGTGAATGGAGTGAGAGTTACCTGTAATTACTGAGAGTCTACAGGTGTTGTACAGGTTAATTATGCATTGAGTATTGTCTAGAGTGTGTGTGGGTGTGTATGTGTGTATGTGTAAGTTAAGATTATATAAGTATAGATTAGGAATTACGATATATAATAATCATGATGATAATAATAATAATAATAATAATAATAATAATAATAATAATAATGATGATGATAATAAACCTACACGCACATACATACATCCATGCATACATACATACATACATACATACATAACTCTAGATTGGAAAGTCATAATAGACATAATACTTTATACACATTAACATTTATAACGTTACATTGGATATTCACTTAAATAATTCATGAACATACATTCAACTAAACCAGAACGAGGTGAGGGGGAGGGGGAGGACGAGGAGGTTAGGGGGAGGAGGAGGACAGGGTGGGGGAAGGAGGGAGAATGTCTCCTCGCCTCCTGAGTTCTAGAGTTGGGGTTTATTATGCTGGGTTATATAAAAGCTTTTGGTTTCAGGTTTGGATTTTGTTTATACATTAATGTGTGTGTGTGTGTGTGTGTGTGTGTGTGTGTGTGTGTATGTGTGTGTGTGTGTGTGTGTGTGTGTGTGTGTGTGTGTGTGTGTGTGTGTGTGTGTGTGTGTGTGTGTGTGTGTGTGTGTGTGTGTGTGTGTGTGTGTGTGTGCATGTGTGTGTTTTGCTTATATTTATTTTAACAGTATTGATGTGCTGGTATTTATCAAAATTAACCTAACCTAACCTCGTCTGTCACCAAGAATTCTTACCATTTTCACATCTTCTAGGACCCCTGCCTACCTACACACATCCTATTTTTACACAAAAAAATAATAAAACCAACTCAAAATATACAACAGTCCTATATATCAACTTCCCTTATGTCATGAATCACGTACGACCTTAATTCCAGATACAACACACAAGCAGTTACGAGAGAAAAGTTACGATTCTGATCTTATCTTAAAGTGGGAGGATGTAAATCAACCCAACATGAAGGGTTATCTTATCTCCTCCCTCCCCATCCACTCCACCCCTCCACACCCCCACCCTCCACTCTCCACCCAACCTCTCCACCCCCTCAATCCTCACCCCTCCACCCATCCTCCCCCATCCCAGTATTTTGTCTAGTATGGTTGAAGAGGTACAAAGGGGGTAGTGCCCTATGGGAAAGTACTGCAAGGAAAGTATTTACAGAAAGTGACATGATAAACGTGTATTCGTCTCCCAGTTTCGTTTATGTATGGACGAAAGAACAGAAAAAAAGCCAATAAACAGAAGGAAAAGAATCGAGAAAAAAGAAAAAAAGTTCAATACAAGTTTAAAAAGTAATCAAGGAAGAGTTCTCATCCTAAATATCTTGGGGGACATTAATACCTACCTTTAATAATTATCACGAGAGAGAGAGAGAGAGAGAGAGAGAGAGAGAGAGAGAGAGTGACAAGGTAGTGGTTATATCCTGAACTCGAGGAACGTAAATCTCGCCAGCCTAAATAAAATTGCTCTTTTATGTCTCTAAGGTTCTTCGTAGCTCCAATAAAAATGATGTTGAGTTTCAGGCCAACGATCGCTATAAAAATTCCATCATAAAGTGAGAGTATCTAGAAGGCACTAAAGGAAGGGAGTGTAAATATGAGGGCTTCTGTCTGGGGAGTTGTCTGGAGGTTCACACTATGACTACTCAAGCTAACATCATTATCAATTAATTAATATAAAAAATAACTCTTGTTTTCGTTCAAATATTTATAGAAAATAATTATCTTTGTAGGAGATCGACAGCGAGGGGGAATTTTTCTAAAGTCTACGGTCCCGCCTACCCATGTTTCACTACCTCGCGGCGTATTGGACCTCAGCGGTAGACATGAGTTACTACTACTACTACTACTCCTACTACCACTACTACTACTACTACTAATACTACTAATACTACTACTACTACTACTAATAATAATAACGGCAATAAACTTCCCAGTAAGATAAAAAAAAACTTATTTCCTCAACAAAATCCTAAATGCAGGAATGAGTCAAAACACACATTACACATTATAATCCACCTCAGCCTACAGCATCCTGATGAACTCTTGTTTGATGCCGCTTACAACTGTTGTATAATTGACTGTGTTGTTCAGAGCTAGTCCCCCTTTCTCACGTGTGTGTGTGTGTGTGTGCGTGAGAGAGAAAGAGAGAGAGAGAGAGAGTGTGTGTGTGTGTGTGTGTGCAACTAGAGTCTTTTCCAATCTAGCAAGGTGAGGGGAGGGACACGAGGAGTAGAAGGGAGGGGGAAAAAAGTGAGGGGAAGGGGAAGTTGAAGTGTGGTAAGAGGACATGGAGGGGAGGGAGGGAGAGAGTGAAGGAGAGAGTAATCCAATCCCTAGTGAGTGGATGCGAAACAAAATGGAATGGGAGATTAATTTCTCTCTCTCTCTCGTGTGTGTGTGTGTGTGTGTGTGTGTGTGTATGTGTGTGTGTGTGTGTGTGTGTGTGTGTGTCTGTCTTCTGTATACCTCTGTCTGTGAGTGTAGGTTGGATGTCTGTATTATTCTCTCTGTGAGTATCGCGTTTTTTGTTTCTCCGTCTCGGTGACTGTTTATTTATCTCTTTATCCCTCTGTTCACTTTATAGTTTGCACCCAGCCTCTTCTTTTACTGCCTTATAACGCGTGGTATTTACACTTGTTTATGACGATGTGAGCGAGGTGACATAACTAGAAGAAAGGGAGAGAGTATAGCTTACAAGATCCCATGAGAGAGAGAGAGAGAGAGAGAGAGAGAGAGAGAGAGAGAGAGAATAATACAAATAGAAAAATGGACATACTGTATACATAGACAATGAATGATAAAGAAAAAAGGTTGAAGACACTTACCTGTGTAATTCAAACTGACTGGTGGACAGATTTCTGTAAGGCACTTGACACAGTACAGGCGCTGACGTCGCCAGCAACGCTGACGAGGCCACGGTGGTTTCTTTGAAAAACTCCGATATCACAGATACTGACGATTTAACAAAGTTTATAAGCAACTGTTTCTTGGGGGTTCTCAGGAAGTCCGGCCGAAGACTGAGGAGGCCGGGCCGTAGGGACTCAGACAAGTTTCCTGGCAGAGGGACGTCGAGGAGGATCCAGATGTACTCCCCGTTGAACATGTCAAGGTCCTCGCCGTGGCTGAACACCACCTTGACGAAGTTCACAGTCCCGGAGACGAAGATCAGCCGCCGGACTGTGTGTAGGATGCCGCTCAGACGATTTTGGAAGTGGTGTCTGGGGAGGCTGGCGGAGAGGGACAATCCCACGGGCTCGTAGGTGTCATCCCGGGAGGCGATGTGGGCCAATTGCAGAGCTTGAGGTGAGTCGTCGTGGATGAGGATTGGCTGGCACCATTCGAGGGCGGAAATAAATGACGTGGCGGCTTCCCATAGGTCTGACAGTCGTGGGTTGGCAACTACCAGGTCAGGCAGCAGATTCTGTGGGAGAGAAAGATATCACACGTGAGACAGATGCTTCATGATTCCTATGATAATTTTGACCTATGAGCTTTCTCAGTTATTACCATAGTTTAAACACACATAGACAAATAACAGCACAAGAAAACGATGAAAAAACCCACATTTAGATTAGTTTAGGTTCAATTAGGTTAAATTATATTAGGTTAGGTTAATTAAGGTTAGATTAGATTGGAGTTAGTAACTTTAATCAACAAATTAAATAAACAATGATGTCTAATCTTCACGTAACCAGAATACAGTAATATCATCATCTGTCAAACACACACACAACACGCACGGGTAGATGGTAGTGATGAAGGTCTGTACAATTGTCTAATACTTTCAACATGTACAACACAGGTCTATTAGTTCCAGCAGCTTCACCAGAGTGTTCAAACAAAGACTTTCCTCACAGTGAACATCTGAACTTCAAAGGCACAATATATTGAACATTGAATAGCCCACATGAAAGGAATACAAAGAATAATAACAACAATATTAATAATAATAATAATAATAATAATAATAATAATAATAATAATAATAATAATAATAATAATAATAATAATAATAATAATAATAATAATAATAATAATAATAATAATAATAATAATAATAATAATAATAATAATAATAATAAATAACATCCCTTCATATTCTTCTTACTCAAAATAACCTCAAATAACATTAACAAAATCCTATACAATAAAAATAACAACCTCAAAAAAATCTTCACTTTAAAATCCTCAAAAATAAACACAAACCCAATAAAATCCCAAATAAAACTAAAAAAAATCCCATCGTATAGAAAAAGAAAACAAAAAAATCCCTAAAATTTCTACAACACAGAGTTACCATCAGGTGTTGTCCCACCAAGGCAAAAATTACATAACCTGAGGCGCCAAACTTCGTGATTATGTTATCATTAACTTTGTCCTTTGATCAACAATAATGAATTGCTGGAACGACCTGGCTGGGAGAGCATGATGGTATGACCTGGTTGTGGTTCGCTTGGTGTGTAGGAAGAGGCAGCTAATGGGGAGGAAAGAAAGTTGAAATATGAGGGGAGTTAATAGGGTGAAAAATAGCATAATAGGGGAGTTAATGGGGAGGAAAATAGCATACATTATTAGAGGAAGATAATTGGGAGGAAAATAGCATAATAAGGGAGTTAATGGAGTAGAAAATAGCATAATAGGGGAGATAACGATGTGGAAAATAGTATAATAGGCATATGTAATATTAGGGAAATAGTATAGTATAGGTAGATAATTGGGGATAAATAGTGTAATAGGATTAATGGGCAGGGGATAAATATTGCAGGAGGTGGTTAATAGGCAGAAAAGATGAAATAGGAAGCTGGGGGTGTGAAGAAGAGGCCAGGTGACGGAACATCCTCATCTCAAATAGGACCTGACAACCTTTTCTCTTCCTCTCTTCTCCTATCTCCTCCTTCTTCTTCTCCTATCTCCTTGTCCTTCTCATCCTTCTATCTCCTATCTCCTTCTCCTTCTCCTATCTCCTTCTCCTATCTCCTTCTCTTTCTCCTATCTCTTTCTTCTCCTATCTCCTTTTCCTTCTCCTTCTCATTCTCCGTCTCCTCCTTCTCTTGCCCCCGTGAAGTGACATAACAAATGGGTTCTCTCTCACCCCCTCTCAACACCAACACCACTACACCACTACACCACAACACCACTACACCACTACACCACTACACCACTACACCACCAAAATCACCAACACCACCCCCATTAGAACACCACTACACCACTACACCACCAAAATCACCAACACCACCCCCATTAGAACACCACTACACCACTACACCACTACACCACAACACCACTACACCACCAAAATCACCAACACCACCACCCCCATTAGAACACCACTACACCACCAACATCAACGTATATATATATAAATGTGTGTATGTAAGTAAGTGCATAGAACTGTGGGTGTGTGTGTGTGTGTGTATGTTCGTGTACGTATGTGTGTATTTTTATCTACACGTAAGAAGTGACAGGGTACACCCCCTGGCACACGTCCACACACACACACAAAAGAAGCATCGCTATTGGCTTACATATCTGGGTCAGAAATCTTAACTAGATAATGGAAAATCCCCCGATAAATCGCTAAGGAACGACTTGCCATTAATATCCACAAGCGATTTACGTAAACCCGAGAATAAATAATGGGATGACGTTGGTGTCGTGGTTGAAAGGACAATATTCAACAACGCAAACAACCAATAACATCAATAATACGGTTTATATAACATCAATAACGGGGATTATATAACATCAATAACGGGGATTATATAACAACTATAACACGGATTACATAAAGAGAATAACATGTAGTAAACAACTTAAAATACAACAGAGTTTTTTGGTTCGTAATTCTTTGAGTTCATCTAACGGGAAACGAGGAAATTAATTAACTCACAACAGACTATAATATAATTATTAGCTCTTTATGGGAGTTTCTTCTCTGTCTGTCGGTCTGTGTGTCTATCTGTCTGTTTGTCTGTCTGTCTGTCTGTCTGTCTGTCTGTCTGTCTGACTGTCTCTTTCTCTCTCCATTTTTCCACCAAATATATACACACACACACACACACACACACACACACACACACACACACGAGTGACCACTAATGCCCCTCTGTTATAGACGACAAAAATAAATCGAACAAACTTTATGAAAAAGGGAGGGGGAGGCGGGCCATTATTTGACACAATTTACTGAAAAATAACAATAAAAAATACTGTATTAATTACCCACAATAAAATACCGCCCACAGCTATTAACTAGACAAAAGTGTTATGCTGACAACTGGACCTGATTCTACCCTTTTCTATTTATTTATTTTAACCTATTTTGAAATTGGAATCTGTTGCCAATTTTACACCTATGATAAAAAAAAATCCCTTATATCTATTTTTCCATTATTCAGTTTCGTCAATTGAACTTAAATTATTTCCTAGTTTAACCAGATTTAAATATATTTCCTAGTTTAACCTATTTGGATATTTGCTATGTGTTGCCAATTTCAATCTCGTCGTGAACTTTAACTTTTTTTTTCCAATTTGTCAAGTTTTCGTTCCCAGACAGATAACCGATGGCCCCTTGCTAATTAATGTGGAAATAAACGATAATGAGAAATTATTGTTATTATTATTATTATTATTATTATTATTATTATTATTATTATTATTATTATTATTATTATTATTATTATTATTATTATTATTATTATTATTATTATTATTATTATTATTATTATTATTATTATTATTATTATTATTATTATTATTATTATTATTGTTATTATTATTATTATTATTATTATTATTATTATTATTATTATTATTTTTGGCAGGTTGACGATAGAACCCCAACGATGTAAATCATGATATGTGAGGGATGATGATGATGATGATGATGATGATGATGATGATGAAATGTATTGTGGACTGTGATGTGAGAATTATTACTCTATTGACTTCATTATAGTAAAAGTTGTATGAGATAGGTTCAGTATAATGTAACTGCTGTGTTTTATTAGTAAATATATACATCACACAACGGCTATATACACTGGTGCAAAAAAGACAGACAGACAGACGTACAGACAGTCTCACACACACACACACACACACACACACACACACACACACACACACACACACACACTTAAAACAAGCTTTATTCTGACACTAGTGAGAACGGGGGGGAATGTTATTTACGAAGCGATTTTACATGGATTAAAAACTTTCAACTTTTTTGATCAATCATTCACTGGCAGTCATTGTTGTTACTTTTTATCGAGCTGTTTCAACTGCGAGGGTTATTACGCTCTGATCACTGAGTTTTACTTGTGTTTGTGTGTGTGAATAAATCTCAGTTTTCAGTGCCATTACATAACATTAAACACGAACATAACACACAGTAAAATACTTATCAAACTCCTTACTGTTATTCAGACTCTCGTAACCAGATATCTTAACTACAAATTGATCTACACGATTCAATTACAGCAATTTTATGACTCCTTTACGGCTGCGTGGATCAAGTTAAGTCCGGGTTAGTTTAAAGAATTATGGGTCATAAAATACGAGACGTTATGTGAACCTGAATTAAGTCCATCGTTGGTCCTTGTACCCAAGAGATTGAAGGAGATATGTGACTTGATGTTTGTACCATAATAACACCTCAGTCTTGTACCCAGTAGGAGATCAATTTCCAATGTTTATTTTATCGTATATATCAAAACAAATCTCGAGAAAATATCAACCATAATTATTACCTTTACTATGCAGTGTACTATATCCGCCACTCCTCTAAATATTCCTCTCGTGAACAAATCTATTTCAGTACTCGAGGTATCGCTATTGTGTCGTCCTTCACCAGAAATATTTAATCTATATTTATACTCCTATAGATCTTTCACGCGGTATTCCCAAAATGTAAACATAATCTGGGATTGAGATTTTTAACATGCCACTGTCTCCTCTCCGCTCAGTATTAATAACGATGGGCTTGTATTCCACACCAAAGCCAGTGTGTGTGTATGCAAATGAGAACAATGGTTTATTCAGTTACAAAGTTTTCAAGCCTTGGAACAAGCCGCTTACGACAACCAGTTTTGGAGGCGTGAAAAGAGAGAATGAAATATTTTGCATTGTGACATTAAACATGCTAATAAGGCGGAAGGGGAGGACTTGTCGTGTCGCCTCTGTAAAATATTTCGAGAAGTGAAGCGAAAAAATGGTAATTTGAACGAAGTTATGTGAAACTACCGATAAAAGAAATACATACATACACAGACATATATATATACATACTCACATACACACATGTACACACACATATGTACACACACATTCCCACACACATACATAAACAAAATCATACAAAACTAAATTAAAAACATAATTTAATCAATTATCTATCTCAGCATATAAAGAAGTATGACA